TGGATCAGAGAATACCTGACAGGGAGGCAACAACGAGTCATGGTACGTGACGAGGTGTCAGAGTGGGCGCCTGTGACAAGCGGGGTTCCACAGGGGTCGGTCCTAGGACCAGTGCTGTTTCTGGTATATGTGAATGACATAACGGAAGGGATAGACTCAGAAGTGTCCTTGTTTGCAGATGATGTGAAGTTAATGAGAAGAATCAAATCGGACGAGGATCAGGCAGGACTACAAAGAGACCTGGACAGGCTACAAGCCTGGTCCAGCAACTGGCTCCTTGAGTTTAACCCCGCCAAATGCAAAGTCATAAAGATTGGGGAAGGGCAAAGAAGACCGCAGACACAATATAGTTTAGATGGACAAAGACTGCAAACTTCACTCAAGGAAAAAGATTTGGGGGTGAGTATAACACCGAGCATATCTCCTGAGGCGCACATCAATCAGATAACTGCTGCAGCATATGGGCGTCTGGCAAACCTACGGATAGCGTTCCGATATCTCAGTAAGGAATCGTTCAAGACTCTGTATACCATTTACGTCAGGCCCATACTAGAGTATGCAGCACCAGTTTGGAATCCACATCTGGTCAAGCACGTCAAGAAATTTGAGAAAGTGCAAAGGTATGCAACAAAACTAGTCCCAGAGCTAAGGAAATTGTCCTACGAAGAAAGGTTGAGGGAAATCGGCCTGACGACACTGGAGGACAGGAGGGTCAGGGGAGACATGATAACGACATATAAAATACTGCGCGGAATAGACAAGGTGGACAAAGACGAGATGTTCCAGAGATGGGACATAGAAACAAGAGGTCACAATTGGAAGTTGAAGACTCAGATGAATCAAAGGGATGTTAGGAAGTATTTCTTCAGTCATAGAGTAGTCAGGCCGTGGAATAGCCTAGAAAGTGAAGTAGTGGAGGCGGGAACCATACATAGTTTTAAGGCGAGGTATGATAAAGCTCATGGAGCAGGGAGAGAGAGGACCTAGTAGCAATCAGTGAAGAGGCGGGGCCAGGAGCTATGACTCGATCCCTGCAACCACAAATAGGTGAGTACACACACACACACACACACACACACACACACACACACACACACACACACACACACACACACACACACACACCACACACACACACACACACACACACACACACACACAGATATGATAAAGCTCACGGTTCAGGGAGAGTGACCTAGTAGTGATCAGTGAAGAGGCGGGACCAGGAGCTCGGACTCGACCCCCGCAACCTCAACTAGGTGAGTACAACTAGGTGAGTACACATAGCCAGGAGCTATGAATCGACCCCTGCAACCACAAATAGGTGAGTACACTCACACACACACACACACACACAAAGCCAAATCTGACCCGAAACTGTTGTACAGCCACATCAGGAGGAAAACAACAGTCAAGGACCAGGTAATCAGGCTAAGGAAGGAAGGAGGAGAGACAACAAGAAATGACCGTGAAGTATGTGAGGAACTCAACAAAAGATTCAAAGAAGTGTTCAAAGAGGAGACAGAAGGGGCTCCAGAAAGACGGAGAGGTGGGGCACACCACCATGTGCTGGACACAGTGCACACAACCGAGGAAGAAGTGAAGAGGCTTCTGAGTGAGCTAGATACCTCAAAGGCAATGGGGCCAGATAACATCTCCCCATGGGTATTGAGAGAGGGAGCAGAGGCGCTATGTGTACCCCTAACAACAATATTCAATACATCTATCGAAACAGGGAGATTGCCTGAGGCATGGAAGACAGCAAATGTAGTCCCAATCTTTAAAAAAGGAGACAGACATGAAGAATTAAACTACAGGCCAGTGTCACTGACATGTATAGTATGCAAAATCATGGAGAAGATTATCAGGAGAAGAGTGGTGGAACACCTAGAAAGGAATGATCTCATCAACAGCAGCCAACATGGTTTCAGGGACGGGAAATCCTGTGTCACAAACCTACTGGAGTTCTATGACATGGTGACAGCAGTAAGACAAGAGAGAGAGGGGTGGGTGGATTGCATATTCTTGGACTGCAAGAAGGCGTTTGACACAGTTCCACACAAGAGATTGGTGCAAAAACTGGTGGACCAAGCAGGGATAACAGGGAAGGCACTACAATGCATCAGTGAATACTTGTCAGGAAGACAGCAGCGAGTCATGGTACGTGGCGAGGTGTCAGAGTGGGCACCTGTGACCAGCGGGGTCCCACAGGGGTCAGTCCTAGGACCAGTGCTGTTTCTGGTATTTGTGAACGACATGACGGAAGGAATAGACTCTGAGGTGTCCCTGTTTGCAGATGATGTGAAGTTGATGAGAAGAATTCACTCGATCGAAGACCAGGCAGAACTACAAAGGGATCTGGACAGGCTGCAGACCTGGTCCAGCAACTGGCTCCTGGAGTTCAATCCCACCAAGTGCAAAGTCATGAAGATTGGGGACGGGCAAAGAAGACCGCAGACGGAGTACAGTCTAGGGGGCCAGAGACTACAAACCTCACTCAAGGAAAAAGATCTTGGGGTGAGTATAACACCAGGCACATCTGAAGCGCACGTCAACCAAATAACTGCTGCAGCATATGGGCGCCTGGCAAACCTCAGAACAGCATTCCGACATCTTAATAAGGAATCGTTCAGGACCCTGTACACCGTGTACGTTAGGCCCATATTGGAGTATGCGGCACCAGTTTGGAACCCACACCTAGCCAAGCACGTAAAAAAAACTAGAGAAAGTGCAAAGGTTTGCAACAAGACTAGTCCCAGAGCTAAGAGGTATGTCCTACGAGGAGAGGTTAAGGGAAATCAACCTGACGACACTGGAGGACAGGAGAGATAGGGGGGACATGATAACGACATACAAAATACTGAGAGGAATTGACAAGGTGGACAAAGACAGGATGTTCCAGAGATTGGACACAGTAACAAGGGGACACAGTTGGAAGTTGAAGACACAGATGAATCACAGGGATGTTAGGAAGTATTTCTTCAGCCACAGAGTAGTCAGTAAGTGGAATAGTTTGGGAAGCGATGTAGTGGAGGCAGGATCCATACATAGCTTTAAGCAGAGGTATGATAAAGCTCACGGTTCAGGGAGAGTGACCTAGTAGCGATCAGTGAAGAGGCGGGGCCAGGAGCTCGGACTCGACCCCCGCAACCTCAACTAGGTGAGTACAACTAGGTGAGTACACACATACACACACACAGTCCTGGAATGTGATATTCACCTCAATCTCTTACTATTTACACATACAGATGATAAGAGGTGGCTAGTATATATGTGGATGGCAATAAAAGCACAACAATAGCTATTTAGAACAAAATATTCTCAAGAAAGTGTTGGCCATAATAACATTTATTACATTTATAACATCGTATACCTCATATTATCTTCCTCGCGTGCACACACTCACGCACACACACGTATATTTTATGTATATATATGAACATGGAATGACAATCATGAACTATACATTATTATGCACATGATGAATAAGAATATGCATAATTAGTTTGTGCTGGGATATAAAATATAAGAGATATTTACTGACTAGCAATATTACAAAACAAATTTAAAATATACTAATAAGATAAAAATCATAGATATTTTCTCTATACCAGAGGAATGTAAACATTTACATACTGCCATGACAGAATCATAACTAAAATAAATATATTGCTGTGACAAATATTATACAATATACAAACTCTTAGTTACAAAAACATTTAGATAATGTAACAGCCTGAGCTTGCTACCATCTGCAGCTCATAAGACTGCCATCCCCACGAGCCCTTTTAGGGCGGGGTAGATGGTAAACCAGAGGCCTAGCTTCTCCCTACGAGCCCCGTGAGGGCGGGGAATGTGGCTAGGCCTGGGGACACTTGGTCCCAAAGATGAGGGGGTACTTCTACCTCCTCCCATGGGAGACTTAAGTCTCGAGACACTCCCCAGATAGGGAGCCAAGGCCGGGTCACCACTACTTGGAAAAGACCCGGGCCGGGAGAGTACCGGCGAATAAAAAAAAAATAGATAATGTAGCATCAGACAGCAGACAAACGTTATGATATACTGCTTTTGGTGGGTAAACAAAAGTTTTAGCAGTTACGCCCCAGCCCTAAAAATATCAGGGCAATTCAGCAAAAATAATCGAGAGGGTTTTAATACAAAATTTATTAAAGTATTCATGACTCGTAATTCAATGTCACCTTAATAACCCTAAAGCAGTAGTCAATAGGTGTTAAAACGAATAAGTCAACCCAAATATTATAATTCGTAAGAATTTTAATATGGCAAGTATTGTGTTACGAAGATAGTTTTTAGAAATGTATATATACAAATATGTACTCAAATCTGTGAATATACTCAACTAGACTCTAGGATAACACCCCAAGTAGAGTGGAGAGATACGTCTTGTCAACACCTAGAAAGGCAATGTAACTTCCTGTTGTAAAATTAGTGACAGATTCTTGGATATGTAATCTACAGGATAGTTATGAGTTTGGGTTAAAATAGTTATAAGCCTAGGTCACGGTAGTGAGCATGGGCAAAATAGCTGAGTATGGGTCAGAATAGTTGTGGGCCAGATTAGGTGAGAACAGGTGTATGTGGGTCAGGACAGCTGTGAGTGTCAGGATAGTTGTGAGTGTGGGTCAAGATAGTTGTGAGTGTAGGTCAAGTGAGTGAAGGTCGGGTTATTTATGACTGGGGCAGATTAAGGTGCAGCCCATCCTCTAAATAAGTCAGCATTTCACTGTTGCTGCTAACCTTTGAGTCAGATGGGTGTGTGTACAGGAGTCCTCACAGCTACTGCCTTCTCTACCTTCCTCACTTGCAGAAAACATTATATAAACAAGAATAACAATAGTGTTATCTGACATTTATGAAGAGAAAAGGAATGTTTATTTTTTCATAACTAATATTCGTGAGGTATTTATTATATGACAGCTTAACATTTATAGCCTATTCTATTATTTCCTTTTTTTTCAAGTCTAATATAAAGTTTCTACCAGGATTACATTTTCACTATCAAAAACATATGAACAAGAAATATCACAAACAACTTTACGGAGAAAAATAAACGCTTATTTTCAAACATAAGACCCTTGAGCAGACTGATGAATATATTGTCGTCAGAGCGGCACCTGAACCCTATCTTGTATTTATATTTTCAATATATATTATGCATCAGTCTGACAGGGGCTGAAATTTTTGTTACATTAGTAACCCAAGTTCAGTTTAAACTTCTCTGACAATGTAATAACTAACTTTGGTACAATAACACAACACAATGAATTAAAATACTGAACAATTACAGTGGGATTAACATACATATAGACTGTGCTGTATGCCTTTTTAGTTCAAAGTTTATTTTGAAAATAATCGGTTACATACTGTCTCATTTACTGGTTCTTATTTTTGCCTCTCGGTAACATTATCCGTAACTTCAAACATTTAGTTTAAAAATAATTCTATCACTTAATGTTTTTCGCTCTCAAGATAAATGTTCCAAAGCAATGCACATCATTCAGGCATAAATATTTCTCTTGGCATGAAATACACGTCTGTTGAATCCACTGGAAAGTATTTCTGGAGTTGCAGAATCACATATACCCCAGGTGTTTGTCATGAGTTTGTTGATACTGCTGCAATACTATTTCAGAAAGAGCAATAGAGATATCTGTTCCATTTGTTGATTCATAATGCAGCGACAAGGTCACAGGAATGTTCCATATTGACAAACCAAAGTACAACCTCAGTGGGCGTCTTAAGACCCCTGATCTATATATTTCAAGAGTTCAAACACTCGATAATGTCACTCTTGGAGTCTCTCATGCTTGCAGAATACTCTGCACAGCTTCCTCCACTTTGCTCTCATCATGTGACTGGTGGCGGAGCGGAACTTATGGTTATAGGAGAGGTGGAGTACAGCATTCCATAGGCTGTTGAGAGCCATTAACCAAGGAGCAACGAAGAGCAGCTGCTTCAAAGGCGCCGGGTTGTTAATGGTGTCCTGTTGGGCATACACGTGGAAAGTTAGTATTACGTATACCTCAACACCAGGGTGGAAATAACTCAAATAAGTCACACCAGTGTGGTTATATTTTTTATGTAAACCTCAGAGAATAATCATACAATACAATCTCAAAATAAACATAAAATTTAATGAAATCAGTTCATGAACGCACATTATAAAAACCATTGTGATATTATTGTTATTAATGTTTTGTATCTCAGAAGGAAGTAACGGCATTAAAACCAGATGGTAGTGTTCACGACTAACTTGCAACTTGGAAATAGAAACTAAATGTTTCGGTAGTTCGTGGGCCAGGATAGATGAAAACGTGTCTAGCTTACGTTATTAAATTGTGAGTTCGTCGTGAATTGTTGAAGCCAGGGTACTGTGAGTTTTATTCTTGCAAGATAGTGCCACCAACCTGGTGAGTGAAGTAGAGGACGTCATCCATCCAGTATAATGGTGCCACTAACCTGGTGAGTGAAGTAGAGGACATCATCCATCCAGTATGATGGTGCCACTAACCTGGTGAGTGAAGTAGAGGGACATCATCCAGCTAGTATGATGATGCCACTAACCTGGTGAGTGAAGTAGAGGGACATCATCCACCCAGTATGATGATGCCACTGACCTGGTGAGTGAAGTAGAGGGACATCATCCACCCAGTATGATGATGCCACTAACCTGGTGAGTGAAGTAGAGGAACATCATCCAAGCACCGACGCCCAGGAGAGGGAAACAAGCAAAGATGAACACAGCGACGTTGACCAAGACAGTACAGGTGATCTCCCTGTCCCTCTCTCTCACCGTCACGCCCACGCCCATGCCCACAGTCCTGAAATTCACGAGAGTTACACACGCCCACTTCCACACTCTAGAATGCGATAGTTACATATGCCTACTGGCTAGTTCTCTAAGGATAGTCACAGATGACAAGACCTCTTACATGGGCGAGGGTAGGGTAAGATTTGTCAGGAAACAGGACAAGTGTTTCGTGACGCGGGTCTTATTCATATGATGACCCGCCGCTGGAGCTTTTGGTCATCTGACCGAGACCTTCAGCTGGCTTACCGGTCCACCCCCTTTAAAAATTATGGTTATGATAATAACTCTTTCGATAACAATACATGGGCGAGAAATTTAATCCTCTTATACGAGAGTGAAGGAGCTTACCCTCTCAGGCGTCTGATGGTGGCTGTGGCGTCCTGGCTTCCCTCAGTGTTAGGGTACAGGAGCCGTCGCAACCCCAGTGTACCCAACATACTGTCTCTGAACGATCTGTCCAAGGCTGACTCTGCTGCTCCCGCTCCTGCAACTGCTGCTTCTCTTGCTACTGCTGTTGTTCCGTCCTCTCCCTGCTTCACATCCCTCCCTGTGGGGTATAGTACCATGAGCACTCACACAAGACACCGGTCGAAAGGAAAATACGGAGCAAAATACAGTAATCGTTGATAATTTGGGGAGTTTCGACATTGTCTCGTTGGTGAGCAGAAATATGATTATCCAGAAAACCTGAAATTATCAGACAATCTAACTTCAGCTATACAAATATACAATGCCATGTAGCTTTAACTTCTAGTTTCAATACGCCCGAAACGTTCTATAAAAGCAGGGGCTTTTCAAATTGTAGAAATAAATGTCACTTAGTTTTGTAAGTTTTGTACAAATTTCTTGGTCATTTGTTTGTTTGTTCTACAAAGTGTTCTACACTCCACACTTTAAGAACATGAAACTCAGTTCAGGTTACCCGTAAAATGGTCACAATCTTGTGCATAAATCAGTATCAGGCATAATGCTAGACCTTATGTATTCTATACATTTTTATAAGTAAAAGCATACATTTACAAGGGATACGCTTGACATTTAAATAATCACAGATGACACGTTTAAAGATCAAATGTTCACAGAGAGTAACACTGTTCATTATATATGCCAGATCAATGTCTGGGTATGTAGCATTAAAAGTGGAACTCATCCCAAGTCAAACACATAAACCTAGAGAATGTTTAGAAGTTCACCACCAGATTTATGATTTGAATAACTGTAAAAGACATGATCAGGACGCACAAACTATTGCAAGTCATATGAAAGGTTGTTTGACATGGCATAATCTCTTACTAAGGATACACAAGTTGCAATAATAAAATATGTGAAGTAGAAGGATGGACTCACCTGGAAGTGTGGAGGTGTAGTCGTCCACGTCTGCGTCACTCACTCCTGAATGCTGAACCAAGGAGGTCGACATCTTGAGGTCATATCCCCCGTCCTCAGTCTCTGTTTTCTTTTTAAATATAAATTTTAATTTATAAGGCGGCGGAGTTGATGCGTGTTTGTTAGTCCTGCCCCTGGTGATGTGATGGTGTCCATGTGTGGGCGTGGGTGTGGCAATGAGGTTGACCATGGCAGCCAGGCTAGTAGAGCTGGTCTGGCGAGAGAGGGAACAGTGGTTCTGCGTCAGCTGAAGGGCAGATTTAACTTGGCGTACAGATCGATCCCTCGTATACGAGTTGTACTTACGCAGCGCCCTGAAGGAGAAGATGAGCAAAGAGACGATGGGGAGCCCCACTACCACTAATGTCACAAACAGGGGCACTACGTGCTTTAAATATACCTTGTAGTCGGCTGTAGCGATCTTGCTCTCAATGTTTATGATGTGGACGTCGAATGACGACGTGTCGTAGTTAATACAAATATCTTCCTGCATCTGAGGTCGGTAGACGAAATGTAGCGATGGTACAAGAAGACCACAGCACCAGGACATGCCTAGGGCGGCGGTGACACGGCGAGAGGTGACGAGGGTGCGGTAATGAGTCCTCGTCAGCAGAAGGTAGCGGTCCAGACTCATGAGTGACAACGTGGAGAGCGAGATGATCATGTTGGCTGAGACGAAGAAGCCACTAATCTGCGTGAGCACGTCCGACACGCCCCATAGGCAGTTGGGAACGTGGCGGAACAGTTGACCATCCTTGAGGTTAGCATAGTATGGGAACCTCTCGAAAGGTACTTCTGTCAGTCCTACCCACTGATTGTAAGCAGCATGGCCACACACAATAATTCCTATAAAGAAATCTGTCGCAGCGAGAGAGAATCTCAGGTAGTACTTGGGTTTGTGGAATTGTGGACAGGCGACAGTGACGACCATGATGATGACGCTCATGATAGTAATGCAGAAAGACACAAGTACCATGAACACCAGCACTAGCGTTTCCGCCGCCCAGCACCGCCAAGGCATGCAGTCCGACGCCGACATCTCAAAAACGGAATGGTTAGTGGCGCACACAAAGTCGCTGGAGCACATGGGCCACGAGTGGTGGAGGATGATCATGCTAGTGAGGTTAAGAAGACACTCGTGCTGGTTCTCTGCTACGTGACCCAGCTGTACCACGTAGTATACCCCACCTTGGTGCTCTCGCTCCTCACTGCCCTCTACCTGCGAGCACCACAGGTGGGCACACTGTTGCAGGTCCTGCGAGACGGCGCGATCAAACCCCACCTGCACCAGCTTCGACGTGGACAGGTGGGCACATTCTCGCCACCATTCACTACTGCGGCCACCCCAGTCACTGTGGTCATTCAGACCTGTTGCTCCGGCATGTTTATGTTGCTGCTTATGTTTCCAGGAGGAATCATCTCCCTCATGCACTTGCTGGCTCACATTTTCTAAAGGTACATAAGGTACATATACCCCTTTATTAGCTAGTGGTGATATGTATCTCAGAGAGCCTTTGCTATCCGTGAGTTCTAGTGCTGTGTCACCTACATTAAATGATATGTCTGTCCGATTTATAGCTTTATAGAAAGCGTCGACCTTCCTGCCAAGGGTGTGAAGGTGGTGTTGGTTGTGGAGCGTAGTGGTTGCCGCGGTGTGTTGAGTGTAAGTCTCAACCACCATAAATACTGCTACAACCACCACCACCCAGGTCACCATCACCACTCCATCACATCTTCCCTCGTGAACGTACATAGTGTGCACTATGAGCTTGTATGAGATGCCTAGCTACTGTGGCACTTGATGAAGCTATTCTGACGCTCCAGAGTCCATGTGAGACTATAATGGTCGGGTATAACTAAACACATGTTGCTGCTGCTACATGGTCGGTAGGAGTGAGGTTGTTGACTTACCGGTAGGTGGACCTGTAGATTATCTGGAAACGAGTTTATGTTAGCATGGAGATCTGCGTACAACCTGGTAATGACCTGTTAGTCATAGGCCTTCTAACGAGTTGTTCTCACCTCAGCTTATAATTTGACTGTAACTTAACGATCGTAACTAGTGATGCCTTGATGGAAATTCATTGAAAAGAATAATGACAATGTGGCATAATGGTAAGCTTTTGTTGAGGTAGTGTTGATGTAATGATAGCGTAGCATTAACTAATAACTTGGTTAGACTGTATTTATGGACTTCTGGCCCCTTAACGGAGGTTCCTTGACGCTGGTGAGGGGCTCTTGATCTAGGGAATTGGATCTGTGCTCCGATTCCCTGAATTAAACCTGAATACCTTCTATCCCCCCCCCCCACGTGGGCTTTATAATCATACGGGTTTAGCGCTCCCCATTATTATAATAATAATAATAATAATTATGGACTTCTGGATCTCGTCTGTAAATTCTTCGAAGTTCTTGACCTTGAGTTGCCAGTGAAGTTTTACTTGCTCAACCTTACATTGCCAATAAATGTTTTCGTGGTTAAATCAAAGATGCCTGTATTTTTTTTTGTTGATAGTGAAACGAATTTGTTTAAACAAATTACCAGCTAATTGTTTTTCTTCTTCAAAAGAGGTGCAGTTTATTTACAGGTTTCTTCTGATGACTGCACGATCTTATGTTGTTTTGTTGGTTTAATGATGATTGTTGTCACTCTTACAGTGTTGGTTTAATGATGACTTTTATCAACGTTAGTTGCTTCCTGCAATAATCGTCTCATCGTATTTCTTGCTTCTGCCAATATATTTTTTGATCTAAACAATAAGTACTATTGATTTTCTTCTTCCATTTTGAGGTCTAAATGTTCGACAAAAGTTAAAGTCGATGATTTGCATATTATTTTCCGACTTTTGCAGCTACATAAACACATTTAATTGACAACGTTTCGCCCAAGATCTCACAAATATATTTCCAAAAATCACAAATCTATCACTGCGAGACTGAGATATTACAGCCTATCATCATTCAGATAGGCTGAGACTCTTGATAATGCTAAAATACTTAAAAAAATGTGTTTTTAGCTTAAAAGTGCCTCTTATCCTGAAGGTATAAAAGAGTGTTGTAACAGTGCTGAGCTGACTGTAAGAGTGTTAAGTATTTCTCGCTGCTGACCAACACTGCACTCTCATTACTCCGCCTCTGTCTGTGAATAAGTCAACAATTAAGTGATGAAGTGACGTGACAATTGAGTAATGATGAATATCAGGCAGCTGCTGAGTGATGACGTGACATGACACTGGAGTAATGATGAACATCAGTCAACTCGTAAGTAATGTACACAGTCAACTGAGTAGTGATCTAAATAGATGAGTTAATGAGTGTAGTGACAGCCGCTGAGACGTGCTCTTGCAGGTGAGTTGAACATCTTGGCACTGTTCACCTGCTCCTCCCTCACCTACCTTCTCACACTTGCCGGATAAGCTGAAAAAAAAGAAAATAAATATATAACCTCGGCCATGGTAGTGGCAAGTCCAGTGCTTTACCGCTGAGCTACGGGGTATCTAATATAAAAAATTGTTGGTGTCTCCGTCAGAGCACCATCTGTTACCTACTGACTCTTCCCCACAGCTCTAGCAGCTTCCACAGTAAATCTATCCTCACATACCTCAAAGTCACAGTCTATAGACGCAATTTAAGTCGTAATAAACGATTATAAACGAAAGTGCTGGACCTGCCACTTTCAGGGCCACGGTTTGATACCCCTATTAATATCTGTTTATTTATTTACAGTCGTTTATCACGACTTAAATTTAGTTAATGTAAACATATGCCCAGTTTGGCAACAGCATTGATAGTGGAAAAAGCTACCTAAAAGATTTATTGAAATGATACCCTTAGTATTAAGAGAAACAATTAAAGTAAGAGTGCTAATGCAATCAATTAAGCGATATAATCAATTAGCTAAGAGAAATTATTCATTAACTTGAGAAATTTACTAAGACAAAATTCAGTACAATATTCCCTATATACTAACCATAAGCATGAATATATCATATTTTGTTTATTTAATGCTCACTCTATGAAAGGGAAATATTTAGGGGGAGAGAAAGAGCTGATGTAGGTAACAGCTCTTAGCTTGTAAATAAAGTTAGGAACCCTAAACTTAACTTTGTAAAACCCTGTGTAAAAAAGAGAGACTGAATGAATGAATAACTGAATTCTACACTTGCCATGAATTACTAAACGCCACCATCAATTTTTCCTCGTAAATTCAAGGATTCCCGGTCATAAATTAAGAGGAAAGGCAATATTTTGACTGAAGAAATAACCTGTCCAGAGGAATTACCCAGTAAATTGGTTCTGGACAAAAAGTTACAAACACTCACAGACAAAGCTTATAAAATATTAAGCAGGATACTACTGTGGCTTTAGGGGCGAATACGTATGACACTTCCATTTGTTGCTAGGTTTAATAGGTCATGGCACTCTGAGGAGCTGCGGCTGGAGCCACCAGCCTACTATACTAAACTACTTCCTAATACTTTTTAATTCTTCGTATTATTATTAGTAGTAGTAGTAGTAGTAGAAATAAAAATTAAAAGTATTATTATTATTTTCTGTATATTAAGCAGTAGATTCGGTATATCTGTGTTGAAGGTAGAAACATTTACAGAGGCCAGGGCGCTGGGGCTGCCTTCAATATAATTTTAGAAACTCAAGAGGTGATGAGGGAGATTGTTGGCGACCCGCGTCCCTCTTCTCCAGTATTATCTAGTCTCCAACATTACCATCACTACCAGTAACAACACCATCGTCACCACTAACACCACAACCACCAATACTACAACCACCATCACAGCCTCCACTACTGCTTATCACTTGATGACATTAGCATATTAATTATTTTTTCATCCCCTGTCAGTGCCTGACCAGCCGGGCTGTGGTTCGTACGTCAGTTTGCGTGCGGCCAGCAGCAACAGCCTGGTTCATCACACCCTGACCCACCACGAGGCCTGGTCTCAGACCGAGCCGCGGGGGTGTTGACCCCCTAAACCCTCTCCAGGTATACTCCAGGAGTACAGATGTCATGCCAGACCTTGTAAGGTAGAGCATTTTGCAAAGCGACTCATCTCTTGCCTCGACCCGGCGGCTTGCAAGTACTCACCTAGTTTTCACCTAGTTGAGGTTGCAGGGGTCGAGTCCAAGCTCCTGGCCCCGCCTCTTCACTGGTCGCTACTAGGTCACTCTCCCTGAACCATGAGCGTTATCGTACCTCTGCTTAAAGCTATGTATGGATCCTGCCTCCACTACATCGCTTCCCAAACTATTCCACTTCCTGACTACTCTGTGGCTGAAGAAATACTTCCTAACATCCCTTTGATAAATCTGTGTCTTCAACTTCCAACTGTGTCCCCGTGTTGCTGTGTCCAATCTCTGGAACATCCTGTCTTTGTCCACCTTGTCAATTCCTCTCAGTATTTTGTAAGTCGTTATCATGTCCCCCCTATCTCTCCTGTCCTCCAGTGTCGTCAGATATATTTCCCTTAACCTCTCCTCATAGGACATACCTCTTAACTCTGGGACTAGTCTTGTTGCAAACCTTTGCACTTTCTCTAGTTTCTTCACGTGCTTGGCTAGGTGTGGGTTCCAAACTGGTGCCGCATACTCCAATATGGGCCTAACGTACACGGTGTACAGGGTCCTGAACGATTCCTTATTAAGATGTCGGAATGCTGTTCTGAGGTTTGCCAGGCGCCCATATGCTGCGGCAGTTATTTGGTTGATGTGCGCTTCAGGAGATGTGCCTGGTGTTATACTCACCCCAAGATCTTTTTCCTTGAGTAAGGTTTGTAGTCTCTGGCCCCCTAGACTGTACTCCGTCTGCGGTCTTCTTTGCCCTTCCCCAATCCTCATGACTTTGCACTTGGTGGGATTGAACTCCAGGAGCCAGTTGCTGGACCAGGTCTGCAGCTTGTCCAGATCCCTTTGTATTTCTGCCTGGTCTTCGATCGAATGAACTCTTCTCATCAACTCACGTCATCTGCAAACAGGGACACCTCGGAGTTTATTCCTTCCGTCATGTCGTTCACAAATACCAGAAACAGCACTGGTCCTAGGACTGACCCCTGTGGGACCCCGCTGGTCACAGGTGCCCACTCTGACACCTCGCCACGTACCATTACTCGCTGCTGTCTTCCTGACAAGTATTCCCTGATCCATTGCAGTGCCTTCCCTGTTATCCCTGCTTGGTCCTCCAGTTTTTGTACTAATCTCTTGTGTGGAACTGTGTCAAACGCCTTGTTGCAGCCCAAGAAAATGCAATCCACCCACCCCTCTCTCTCTTGTCTTACTGCTGTCACCATGTCATAGAACTCCAGTAGGTTTGTGACACAGGATTTCCCGTCTCTGAAACCATGTTGGCTGCTGGTGATGAGATCATTCCTTTCTAGGTGTTCCACCACTCTTCTCCTGACAATCTTTTCCATGATTTTGCATACTATACATGTCAGTGACACTGGTCTGTAGTTTAGTGCTTGATGTCTGTCTCCTTTTTTAAAGATTGGGACCACATTTGCTGTCTTCCATGCCTCGGGCAATCTCCCTGTTTCGATAGATGTATTGAATATTGTTGTTAGGGGTACACATAGCGCCTCTGCTCCCTCTCTCAGGACCCATGGAGAGATGTTATCTGGCCCCATTGCCTTTGAGGTATCTAGCTCACCCAGCACATGGTGGTGTACCCCACCTCTCCGTCTTTCTGGAGTGCTTGTGTGTGTGTGTGTAAGAGAGAGAGAGAGAGAGAGAGAGAGAGAGAGAGAGAATATGAGTACGAGGCTGCAGGGTCATAAATTATAACTTGGGTAGAGTCACAACAGACAAACTTCTCTCGTATAGACTGCTCTTCTTGTTGCTCGGGGAGACCCAAGCGGCTAATTATTGGAAACCACTAATTACTTCATATAAATAGAATTAATGCGCATTTTATCAACCTCAGTTCACAATGTTACCGAAAAAAAGCAGTCTTTTCATAATTTTCAGAAATGCATATTTTATTTGCCAGGGGAAATATAACATTTTCTCCTGACGTGCGTGTCAGTCATATTATGAACCCGGTCCTCACTCACCCTCAGTGCAACTCTGAGATATTTCAAGAATTTTTTCCCCCTTGGCTTAACATGTGGCACAGAGATGTGTGCTGTATGTTAGAGGTAAGAAGAAGTATGTGAATCAGCCACAATATGCAGTTTCCTGCATTTATTTAATGGGCGAAATATCTTCGTCAATATATATGCCATAAGGTTCACAACCAGGAGAAATATTCAGGAGTAACGGACGTAAATTAATAATCTCATTTTCCCCAAAAAATGTAAAACAAGTTTCAGTCTGAGAGGATGTTCGTTCAGCGAAAATTTAATGACTTATTTTTTCATTACTCATTTGTTAGTTTCCAGTTGTTGGACACTTTGAATTTTTTTAATATATTCATATTAAATGCTCCCCATTAGGCTCGCATTCACTGAGAAATTTCTCGCTGTATAGATACTGTATATATTTCTCGCTGTATATATACTGTATATATTTCTCGCTGTATATATACCGAGAGTTGTGTCTAATAGTATACAAATATACAATGAGTGTCATCTCCTAGCATATATATGTTGTGCCAAATAGGTAAAAGTGGTCAATTAGCAAGAACTCGTTTAAAATTAAGTCCTTCCTTAAAAAAATTCTTATACATATAGAGATATATTACTTTTCATATTTTTTTTTATCA